CAGTTCCTTCCTTCCTTCCTTCCTTCTTCCTTCCTTCTTCCTTCCTTCCTTCTATTCCTTCCTTCCTTCCTTCCTTCCTTCCTTCCTTCGTTTCCTTCCTTCCTTTCGTCCTTCCTATCGTTCCTTCTTTTCTTCCTTCTAAACAATCCCATCATCCTTCTTTCCTCTACATTATACCCTCTTTCTTTGCTTTCTTTCTCTCCTCGCCCCTCCTTCCCTCCCTCCCTCCCTTCGCTTCCTCCTTCTTCCTTCCTTCCTTCCTTCTTCCTTCCTTCCTTCCCCCTTTCTCTTTTCTCCTTGCCCTCCCCCTTCCTTCCTTCCGTTCCTTCCTTCCTTTTTCCTTTCCTTCCTTCCCACGCTTTTATTTGTTGTTTTATTTCTTTTTTTTTGTTTTTTTTAGATTTTTTTTCCCTGCTACCCTTCTTTCTCTCTCATCCCCCTCATCCTCCCTCTTCCTTCCTTCCTTCCTTCCTTCCTTTCCTTCCTTCCTTCTTCCTTCCTCCCTTCTTTCTCTCTCCCCTCTGCCTCCCTCCGCTTCCTTCCTACTTTCCTACCCTCTGGGTCCCCCTTTTTTTTTTTTTTTTTTTTCCTTTTTTTTTTTTTTTTTTTTGTTCCTTCCCTCCCTCCTTCTTCTACTTTCCTACCCTTCTTCCTTCCTTCCCTTCCTTCCTTTCTCTTCCCTCCCTCTTCCTTTCTTTCTTTCTTTCTTTCTTTCTTTTTCTTTTTCTTTCTTTCTTTCTTTTTCCTTCCTTCCTTTCTCTCCTTCCTTCCTCCCTCTTTCTCTCCCCCTCTCCTCCCTCCTTCCTTCTTCCTTCCTACTTCCTACCCTCTGTCTCCTTCCTTCCCCCTCCGCCTTCTTCCTACGTTTCTACCCTCTCTCCCCTTGCCTTCCTTCCTTCCTTCCTTCCGTTTTCTTCCTTCCTTCCTTCCTTCCTTCCTTCCTTCCGTCCTCAGAAAAACCTGCTCTGGTGAAATATAACAATTATTTCTAAATTTGTAGTGAAACCGTGGCACATGATTTTGTTTATTTTCTTGGCCTGCTTGCTAGTCCTTAGGCTGCCTTATAATGCATTGTTTTGTCTTTGCCATTTCACTCTGCTTGGTCCGAAACCTTGGTCTGGGTGGCCGTTTGCCCTGATCTATAATGGGCCAAGACCTGTCCAGTCCTGCTAAACAGCTGTTTCTTCTACGTCCCGCCTCCTCCAATTGTGATCAGCAACGAGAAGAAACCTCTGGTCTGTTCTTATTATTTTTGTTTTATTACTGTATTCAGAATGTCCAGTACAAAGTGGTGCCATGATTCAGGGTAATGCACGATGAGGGTCATTAAAATATTAATTTGCTTACGTTTTAATGTCGGCTTACTCTCTCCTGGGTCTTCCAGTGAGTCAGGGTTTCTCCAACTGCTGCTTCACCTACCTGGCAGAGAGATTCATAAAGAGAAAATGGCATTTGTGCTGTGCCAAGAATGCTTGGGAATTACAGTTTCCAAACAACTGAAGCAGGGGAATTTGGGAGTTGAACTCCACATTCTTAACGTTTGCTCCATTTGAGTAACGCTGATCTGGAGGACAACCGGTGAAGACGCTTCTTCGATTAGAACAGCATAATACGAGAGCATAAGTCTACCCTCATGTAAAAGACACCTCAAGGTCAGGACCTTTTCAGAGACTCTGGCGCTCAACCTCTTTCCTTTGTCTTGATGTCTAGAACACGAGACGCTTTGCCCATTGTAAAACAAAACCGATTGCCTGGAAAACACCAGATCCCAGCCGAGACTGATAGGTTTGTGATGGAAGGCTCTGTGTGCTTTAAGAAGAGTGTCCAACCTTGCCACTTTACGATTTTCTGGACTTCAACTCCCAGAATTCCCCAGCCAGCCTGGTGTGGACAGGTAACTGAGTTCAGTATGGGCTAAGAGTAGGGTTTTGGGGAGATAGGGAATGGATGTTTCCGCGAGGGAGTGAATCAGGCTAGCCCCCCACGCCCTGGACTCCACTTCAAGCATTGGCTGATGTTTTCGCTGAGCTTTGCATGGCCAACCTACGTCTTTTTTTGCTAAGATAATGACTTCATACATCTGCACGGCTCTCGGCCCAGGAACAAAGCCGGGGCTTGTTCACGGAGCGATGCAGGAGAACCTAGCTGTCCGCACCAGTAGCCTGTACAAGACCCTGCATCCTTGCCAGGGATTCCTCTGCTCTTTTAAGATTGTGCGGCCATGTTCCAAAACGTCCCACGAGTGACCCTTTAGTCGCTTGGAAAGCTGGCAAGGTGTAGCCTCAGAGTCCCAGGCGGTGGGATGGGATGGGGATGGGATGGGATGGATGGATTGATAGGATGGATGACATGATAGATGATGGATGGATTGGGATGGATGGGTGGGTGGATGGATGGATGGATTGATAGATGGATGAAATGATAGATGGATGATGGATTGGATGGGATGGATGGAATGGGAGGGTGGGTGGGATGGATTGGATGGAATGATTGATAGGATGATGAAAATTGGGATGATGAATGATTGGGATGGAATGATGGATGGATAGATGGATGGATTGATAGTGATGAAATGGAAGATGGATGATGGATGGATGATGGATTGGGAGGGGATGGATGGATGGGAGGGGTGGGGTGGGATGGATGGTATGGATTTGATAGGATGGTGAATGGATATGGATTATTGGATGGGATGGATGGATGATGGGATTGGATTGATTGAATGGATGGATGGATGATGGGATGGTGCGTGGGATGGATGGATTGATAGTAGATGAAATGATAAGGGATGGATGGATGGATTGGGATGAGATGGGATTATGGGATGGATAGAATGGATGGATTGATAGATGGATGAAATGGATGATGGGTGAGGATGGATGGATGGTTTGGGATGGATGGGATGATGGATAGGTTGGATTGATAGGATCTGGTGATGATGTTAGATGGATTGATGGGAGGGGTGTATAGATGAATGGATGGATGGATAGGTTGGATGGATAGGATGGGATGATTGGATAGATAGATGGGATGGATGGATAGGTTAGATTGATACTATGGGATGGATGGATGGGATGGATAGATTCTTGCCCTACCTTTCTGGCCCAGAGCAAGGGCTTGTGGTCGTATCCCAGGCATCTCTGACCCTCCCCCCCAGCGTCTGTACCCAGCTCAGCCATGGGCTGTGCCTTGAGCCTGTTAAAGTCAAAACCTCCAAGTCTCGTTCTTATGACTAGCAGCTGCTGGGGCTTTGCTGTGAGATCGGAATTAGGAGCCGCTTCCGCGGGGCAAAAGTTGGATCTCTGGGGAGCTGTAGGGAAAGCGTGGAGGCCAGCCCACTTCCTGGTGCTGCCGTTGGGGCAGCCAAGGGTTGAGCAGGGGAGGGAGGGACGGGGGAAAGGCCGTGGGGTTGAAGCCTGTTTCAGCTCTGGCATCGCTCTGCTTCTCAGCCTGGGCAATTGGAACAGCAGATGGACTTCAACTCCCAGAATTCTCCAGCTGGCGTGCAATTGCCATGGATGATGTTCCAACATGCAGAGTCAACGGAAGAAACTGGATTTGCTTAACGGCTGCGTGATTCGCTTAATAGCATTATACTATAATGCTATTAAGTGAATCACGCAGCCGTTAAGCAAATCCAGAATTCTGGGAGTTGAAGTCCACATGCCTTAAAATTGTCAAGTTTGGGAAACACTGCATCATAGGAAAGCACCTTAACCACTATGCCAAACTGGGATGGGGCCTGTCATTGCGCCACCAGGACTCTTTATACATGTACACATTTTGCAAGGAGAGGCTGACCATCCTTCCTGGCAGAACATCCATACTGTGGCTGGTTTGTTCAATAGCCATCACTCTCGTCTGTTTCTTGACCCCGGGATCGATGGCACGCTAATGGATCCATCAGCGTTTCCCCGAAGGTGTCTGTGCATCTGTCACTCCGGATGCTTTCAAATTAAAGCACATGTTGAAAGATGCTTGGAAAGGGTGAATGAGAGAGGGGGGGAGAAAGAAAGGAAAGAAAGAAAGAAAGAAAGAAAGAAAGAAAGAAAGAAAGAAAGAAAGAAAGAAAGAAAGAAAAGGAAGGAAGGAAGTGGGAGGAAGGGAAGAAAGATACAAAGATGGTTATAATGTAGAAAGAAAGAAGGATGATTGATTTTTATAAGGAAGGAAGGAAGGAAGGAAAGGAAAGGAAAGGAAAATGTGAAATCCTTCGTTGGTCTTTCATTCTGTTTTTCAAAAGAGAGAAAGAAAAGGTTGGCGTGGTCCATGATTTTACTAAAATTGGAGCAGAACGTAGCTCCAGTTCTTGTTTGATGGCCCATAACCCACAAGATGTCAAGGTCTTCATCGAAATCGATGGACGAACAACACTACATATTTTTGGAGAGGTGCATTCTGGGTTTTGTCTTGTTGGATTGCAGCTTGGCGCAAAAGTGTGGCGAACTTCCCTTGTTGTGTTCAAGCTGGCTTCTTGTTACCTGCAGAGATTTGTCATGTTTGGCGTCCGTTGTTTTTAACGGAATATTTAAGGAAAGAAAAGTTAGACAAGAAGGTCGTTCGCCCATGGTCAGATGACCTCAGTCCTCACACTTACAATGGTTGAAGCGTCTCCACGGTCACATGAGAGCAGTGGGGCTGACTCATACTTATGACAAGGGCAGTGTCCCCGGAATCACATGATCCCCTTTTGCAATCTTCTGACAAGCAAAGTCAGCGGGGGAAGTTCTTACTAACTTAAGAACCGCAAGGTTGTAAAACGGGGTAAATCTCACTTAACTGCCTTGCTTAGCAACGGTCGTAAGTTGAGGATCACCTGTTTGGGGCTGGCTGGGGGGCGTGAAAGGGACACACCTCACTTTGGGTCCCAGTCAAAAGCTCAAAAGCGTCGCAGCCTTGCGAATTGACTCTCCGGTGTGCCTGTTGTCGTTGTGGGGAGGCGAGCAAACCCTCGGCCGAGCGCAAAACCCTGATCTTAAAACGGACCTTTCCCATCTTAGGTCACATGGTACCAAGTGACGTGTCCTTGTGAAATCCAGTCGCCGGAAGCCCCGGAGAAGATGTCAGGAATGCAGGTAAGGACGGAGACGGGGAAGAGAAAAATCAATTATTGTCTTTCGATTTCCGTTTCACGCCGTCACACAATTTTGGGGGGAGGGAGAGAGGATTTTTCCAGGACATTTTTTTTAAAAAAATGTCCCTGTCAACTGATGTCCAGGTTCTCTGGGATCCTGTCTAATTTGACAACGGTGGGTTGAAACGTGGTTAGTATTTATGTCAGGGGTCCTCAGCTGTGGCCACTTCAAGACTTGTGGACTTCAACTCCCAGAATTCTTCAGCCAGCAAATTGTAAAGTTGCAGGCTGGGGAATTCTGGGAGTTGAAGTCTACAAGTCTTAAAGTTGCAGGCTGAGGAATTCTGGGAGTTGAAGTCTACAAGTCTTAAAGTTGCAGGCTGAGGAATTCTGGGAGTTGAAGTCCACAAGTCTTAAAGTTGCAGGCTGAGGAATTCTGGGAGTTGAAGTCCCCAAGTCTTAAAGTTGCAGGCTGGGCGATTTATGTAATCCTCAACTTAACAACAATTCATTTAGTGACTGTTCAGTTACAACAGCCTTAAAAAAAAAAAAGACATATGTCCTACATATGGCAGCATCCCCACAGTCACATGATCAAAGCTCGGACGCTTGGCAACTGATTCACATTTATGACGGTCGCAAAGTCAAGGGGGGGGGGAGAAGCCGGAATCACTTAACAAACGTGTTGCGAACTTAAACTACCTCAGTGATTCCCTTAAGAATTGTGTCCAGAAATCTTGTTAAATGGAGCAGAACTTGCTTTGACAGATGCCTTGCTTAGCAACATAAATTGTGGCCGTAACTTGAGGACTATCTGTATTTCCCCCCCCCTCCCCAAATTTTGGTGCTGGGTTTTCCTAAGAGTGTTTTTTAGGGTGCGCTGAAGTGGTATTCAGCCAAGGGCTGTCTGATCTTTATGGGGCCCTTTTCATGCCGGTGTGTTTGGGCCTCCAAAGCAGCTTTTACGCTGTTGGGGGCTCTTCTTCTTCTTCTTCTTCTTCTTCTTCTTCTTCTTCTTCTTCTTCTTCTTCTTCTTCTTCTTCTTCTTCTTCTTCTTCTTCTTCTTCTTCTCCTTCTCCTTCTCCTTCTCCTTCTCCTTCTCCTTCTCCTTCTTCCTTCTTCTTCTTCTTCTTCTTCTTCTTCTTCTTCTTCTTCCTTCTTCTTCTTCTTCTTCTTCTTCTTCTTCTTCTTCTTCTTCTTCTTCTTCTTCTTCTTCTTCTTCTTCTTCTTCTTCTTCTTCTTCTTCTTCTTCTTCTTCTTCTTCTTCTTCTTCTTCTTCTTCTTCTTCTTCTTCTTTTAAAAAAAGAACGATACGGAAGATGTGCTATTTTTAAAAAAGTTAAAAAAAAGAAAAAGGGAAGGAACTATAGCCCAGTGGGAGCGCACATGATTTCCTTTTCAGACATGTTGGAGTCCCCTAGTTTAAAAATATAGGTGACTGAATACCAAAGTTTGTCCAAGTTTGGCCACTTGAAAATGGGTGGACTTCAACTCCCAGAATTCCTCAGCCAGCCGGCTGAGGAATTCTGGAACTTGAAGTCTGCCCGTCTTCCAGTTGCCGAAGTTGAGAAACATTGCTACTCAGAGAAACCTCAACTTACAGCCATAACTGAGCCCAAAATTACGGTCATAAGCCGTGGCAGTCATTAAGTGGGTGGCCACATGATCACCCTCGATTTTATGACCTTTAATGTGGTCATTAAGTGAACCCATGACGCCAAATGGCTGGTTTTGGCAAAAACTGGAAGTGAATGTGGCAAAAAAGCCTTAAATTGAGGGGGGGGGGTCACTGCAGGCTGCAAACATCCTTCAGTGAGGTCAGGTTGCCAGGTACCCCAAATGTGGTGATGATAATAACAACAACAACACCCCGGACTTAACGATTGTTGATAAGAAAGACAAAAAAGTCTGGATAGTGGACGTGGCAGTGCCTGGAGACAGCAGAATAGACGAGAAAGAACTGGAGAAGATAACAAAATACAAAGACCTACAAATAGAAATAGAACGACTGTGGCAAAAGCAAGCAAGGGTAGTACCAATAGTCATAGGCTCCTTGGGTGCAATCCCAAAACAACTGGAGCACCACTTGAACACCACTGGCATTGACAAATTCGCTATTAGTCAATTGCAAAAGGCGGCCTTACTAGGAACTGCTTCCATCCTGCGACGATACCTGTAATACCATCACACATCCACATCTGCCTATCCCAGGTCCTGGGTAAGGACTCGATAGGTAGACAAAATGCCAAATCCAGTCTGAACATCTGGCTGACTGTGCGATGATCAATAATAATAATAATAATAATAATAATAATAAAGTTGGAAGGGACCTTGGAGGTCATCTAGTCCAATCAGGCAACCACGAAGGAGGGAGGGGGGCAGGTGGCCGTCAGAACTTCCGAGACTGGATCATAAGGAGCTCTGTTGTGAATTTGAACTGTTGCTAAGCGAAGGGATGTAATTTGAGGACTTCCTGTCCAGAAAGATCTTTGTGTGCTTCCTATTGCAGAGTTTTGGGTTTTTTTGCACTTTCTCTTGACAATGCAATGAAGCAGGACCCAAATGCTAACAGTGTCCTTGTTCTTTCCCAAAAGGCTGTCTGGCCTTCCGGCACCGAATGCATCGCCAAATATAATTTCCACGGCACAGCTGATCAAGATCTCCCCTTCAGCAAAGGAGACGTCCTCACCATCATCTCGGTCACCAAGGTAACTGTCCTGTCTCTGGCGCCTGGCCCGGCCTGTGCTCACAGACGCCTGCCCCTTGCCATGGGGACGGACAGACGGAGGTGGAATATCCAGCAATGGCGTCAGGAATGCCAAAGTGGCGTTTGTCCGATTGCCCCCTGGTGCTAAGCCCAGCTCTTGATGTCTTGGGGTTTGCACGGTGTTGTCATGACATGGGTTTGGTACCTGCCACAAAGGGCCACAAATGGTAACTCGGGGTATCATCGGGCCAAAGACATCACTGTGTCCATTGTGTGATAAGGTCACAGTGTGCATCACATCGTGTGATGCCATCCTGGCTTGTAACAAATCGCTAAAAGGGGCAGTTTGCTCCAATCTACAGCCATAAATTCTCTCTCTCTCTCTCTCTCTCACACACACACACATCTATCATCTATCATATCTGTCTGTCTGTCTGTCTGTCTGTCGTCCATCCATCCATCCATCTATTATCTATCGATCTATCTGTCTATCATCTCTCTATCTCCCACCTTTATTATTTTTACAATAACTCAAAGCAGCAAACGGGAGAGGAAATGGGTGCAATACACCCTCCTCCTATTTTCCCCATAACAACAATCCTATGAGGTGGGCTGGGCTGAAGGTGGGGTGACTGACCCAGAGTCACCCAGCCGGCTTCCGTGATTAAGACAGGACTTGAACTCACCGTATACAGCTGGCGCTTAACCTTAAAATCTTAGCTTTAAAACCATCGGCTGTCTGGTCCACCCTCTACCCGCTTCTCACATCCTCGTATCATTCTGAGTAAATGGATGTCCAGTCTTTTCTTTTTTTCTTTTTAATTGAAAATTTTTAAGTTTTACAAAAAAAATTCCCTTCCCCAAACCCTCCCAACCCTCCCCTACCCTCCCCCGACCTTCCCAGAGCTGAATACAGGCTTAATTAAAAAATTTTTTTAAAAAAATCTTAAGACACATATAAACCATAAACAAATCTAAATACATTAATTAAACAAATTATAAAATAGTTAACAACAATATATAAAAAAATACAAGAAGAAAGAAAAAAGAAACAGAAAAAGAAAAAATCAAATAAAAAAAGAAAAATAAAAAAATTAAAAAAATGTCTATAAAATATCTTAAATTTTAAATATAAATTATTCAAAAACTAAATAATATTCAGTCTTTTCTTGACCACCCTCCACGATGGAGCTGCTTCTCAAAGTCAGAAGAGGGACTAGTTCTATTGTTTTATAATAGCCCTTTGAGAATATGAATGCAGAAATACATATTTATATATATAGGTATATAAAATTTAATTAAGATGCTTGCATCACCCCTTCTGTTGCTTCTTCCCAGCCAGCTTCCTCTGCACCGCCTCGCTCTTTATGCATTACAATTAAGCCGTGATGGCGACAGGAGAGATTCAGAAAAGGAAACAAGGGCCAAATGCATCCCAATCAGATTTTGCCCCATGCTAATGTACAATAAGCTTTTAATGACTCATATGCTTGAGGAAGCTGGAGGAAGAGAACGCTGTAACCTTTAGCTACCTTGCAGACCTTCCTGGAAAGGGCTTTGGAGTCTGGCACTGGTGGGAAATTAACATCTTGAGATGTTCCAGGTGATCTCCTGGCTCCAGTTTTGGCTTCTTGACAAATTGCAGACCGGCTGTCGCAAATGTTGCATGGATGTCTCTTATGTAGACAAAGCTGGGGGACGGGTGCACCCCAAAATGTGTTGTGGAGGGCTGGGCTGCACCAGGGGACACCCGTTCTGGGAGATCCTTCGCTGGGAACAATCTAGAAGCCAAAGCGAAGCTGAAAAGTCCCCCAGTGGCCTCTCTGCCTTCAGAGGGAGGGAAGCAATTTAATTAACCATGAAGATTATGCAGCCTTCCTTTCAAATGTAAGCTACTGGGTCAAATCCAGGCCCTGTTTTATCATCTCTGTTGGCTAGGAATAAGTAAGCAACCATCTGCTGCTCTGGGGCCTGGGATTGAGAAAAGATTCATCACTACATCTGGGTTTAACATGCATTGGGGGATTCTGGGAGTTGAAGACCGCCTATCTTCAGCCGCCAAGTTTGGAGAAACGCTGCTTTGATGTTTCAGGGAGGGCATTTTCTTAGGAAAGGACTTTATCCTTGCAAGAGGAAACGGAGGAAGGGTGAGGGTCTCTGACTTGGCTTTCTTGAGGACCCCCCCCCCAAAATCTTCCCGGAAATCTGGGGTTCTCACTAACGGGGGCTTCCCTCTTCCAGGACCCCAACTGGTACAAAGCAAAGAACAAAGTGGGCCGTGAGGGCATCATCCCAGCCAACTACGTTCAGAAACGCGAAGGGATGAAACCTGGAATCAAGCTTAGCCTGATGCCGTAAGTAGACATCTGTCCTGGGCGTTTTCACACACTCCCCCCCCCAGGCACATCTGGCCCTATCATGCCCACATGAGGTCCCACGGAAATTAGCAATCCCATGTAAATAACGCCATTGCTTTTACGTTGAAGGAGACTTTATATTGCTTTATTTTTTTTGCTTACCCCTGGCATAGATCGAAAACTGTTTTGCCAGGTTTTTATTTTTTTGCTAAGGAGGGGTGCCTTGTGAAACCTCTGTGAAGAAATAGACTTCTAGTCCTCATTGAGGCCAGCGTTGGTACATTTTGACTGTCCTCGTGGTCTCTTTTCTCCTTTTAGTCTCTTTTGCTAAGGAGGGGTGCCTTGTGGAACCTCTGTGAAGAAAAAGGTTTCTAGTCCTCATTGAGGCCAGCATTGGTACATTTTGACTGTCCTCGTGGTCTCTTTTCTCCTTTTAGTCTCTTTTCCTAAGGAGGGGTGCTTTGTGGAACCTCTGTGAAGAAATAGGTTTCTAGTTCTCCTTGAGGCTAGCATTGGTACATCCTGTCCTCGTGGTCTCTTTTCTTCTTTTATCCTCTTCTGCTAAGGAGGGGTGCATTGTGGAACGTCTGTGAAGAAATAGCTTTCTAGTTCTCACTGAGGCCAGCGTTGGTACGTTCTGACTGTCCTGGTGGTCTCTTTTCCCCTCCTCAGCTGGTTTCACGGGAAGATTACGCGTGAACAAGCTGAGCGGCTGCTGTACCCTCCGGAGACGGGCCTGTTCCTGGTGCGAGAGAGCACCAACTACCCGGGCGATTATACCCTCTGCGTCAGTTGCGAAGGCAAAGTGGAGCATTACCGCATCATCTACTCCTCCAGCAAGCTCAGCATTGACGAAGAGGTCTACTTCGAGAACCTCATGCAACTCGTGGAGGTGAGCCTGAGGCCAGGTTGGAAGGGAGAAGCGGGCTGAGGGACCCCCATTTCTGGGCCGCTCAAAACAAGAGAGTCGGAAGGGACCTTGGAGGTCTTCTAGTCCAGCCCCCTGCTGAGGCGGGAGAGATTCTATACCAGGGGTCTTCAAACGTGGCCCTTTTATGACTTGTGGACTTCAACTCCCAGAATTCCTTAGCCAGAGGCACGCTGGCTGAGGAATTCTGGGAGTTGAAGTCCACAAGTCATAAAAGGGCCAAGTTGGAAGACCTTTGCTCTATACCATTTCAGGCAAATGGCTGTCCAATCTCTTCCTAAAAACCTCCCGTGTTGGAGCATTCACAACTTCCAGTGACAAGTCATTCCCCTGGTGAATTGTTCGAAACGGTCAGGAAATTCCTCCTTAGTTCTGGGTTGCTTCTCTCCTTGATTACTTTCCGTCCATTGCTCCTCGTCCTGCCTTCGGGTGCTTTGGAGAACAGGTGGACCCTCTCCTCTTTGTGGCAGCCCCTCAAATATGGGAAGATACTATCGTGTCACCCCTCAGTTAGAAAAAAAAAGGTCAGTGGTTCTCCACCTGTGGGTCGGGACCCCATTTGGGGTCGAACGGCCATTTCACGGGGGTCGCCAAACAACGCAGTCCGCCATTTTTTTTCCCCTTTTCCTTAGCTGGGCTCCTCCCTTTTATTCTATTGGCTTTTGAAAGCCAATAGAAGAGACTCTCTTGAATAGAGTCTAATTCTATTGGCTTTCAAAAGCCAATAGGAATTGTCCAGGCTATCTCTGCCCTGCTGAGCCCGCCAAAAGTCCCATTCTGCAAACGGGGCTGCACCAGTTGAGTAGTCCTCGACTTACGGCCGGTTGAGTGGTCCTCGACTTACGACCGGTTGAGTGGTCCTCGACTTACGACCGGTTGAGTAGTCCTCGACTTACGGCCGGTTGGGGGGTCGCGGCATTAAAAAGTTTGAGAACCACTGCTCTAGGTAATATGCCAGCTTGCGAATTCCGCCAGTCCACCTGAATCTGGTGGCCTCACCCCACCCACTGTGGTCACAGGCTGCGCAGCTCAACCATGCTCGGAGTTTCCTGCCTCTCGCATCACTACGAGAGACAGGAAGACGCTTCTGAGCAATACCGAAAAGTGCCTCCTTGCAAAACCCGCCATGTGGAGCTGCAGCTCGGCTGCCAATTCTGCACCCGGCAGCTCAGCTCAGCTCGGGCAGCGCCTGGCGGAAGCGTCTCCCAGCAGTGAGAGACAAACAGGCCGTTCCCCTGAGGATAAGGCTTGTAGAACCGTGGGCGAGTAAGTTCCCCATTCCTTCCTCCTTCTCTGGCTTCCAGGCCAGAGCGATGGGGAGCCGGGCTCTCACACTGCCCCCTGGTGGGCTGCGGCATCATCGGGACTTGAGCTGCGGCGTCCTTGCAACTGGGCAAGCTGCAAGATGCACCGGCGCATCCCTCTCGTTTCACTTTGTGGAGGATTAATTCCTCTGGGTTTCAGAACACGAACTGGCACCTTTGGAGGGAGCAGAGATGCTGGAAGCAGTTTCTTTTCTTTTTTAATTTTTATTCACTCATAATAATAATAATAATAATACCATCAAACATCCACATCTGCCTATCCCAGGTCCTGGGTAAGGACTCGATAGGTAGACAAAATGCCAAATCCAGTCTGAACATCTGGCTGACTGTGCGATGATCCATAATAATAATAATAATGATAAAGTTGGAAGGGACCTTGAAGGTCTTCTAGTCCAACCCCCTGCTCAGCCAGGAAACCCTACACTATTTCAGACAATGGCTGTCCAGTCTCTTCTTAAAAACCTCCAGTGTTGGAGCATTTACCGCTCCTGGAAGCAGGTTGTTCCATTGGTTAATTGTTCTCACTGTCAGGAAATTTCTTCTTAGTTCCAGGTTGCTTCTCTCCTTGATTAGTTTCCACCCGTTGCTTCTTGTCCTGCCTTCAGGCGCTTTGGAGAATAGCTTGATTCCCTCTTCTTTGGGGCAGCTCCACATAAGATAAAAGATGAAAATACAAAAGCAAATAACATATAGTAGGGGAAAGGAGAAAAAGAGAAACATGGAAAGGCTGGGGAGGGGGCAGAAAAAAAAAGCCATTGATTTGTCGATATAGAAATGGCTAGTTCAGAGGTCCCCAACCTTTTGGGCACCAGGGGCCAGTTCCGTGGAGAGAGGTTTTTCCACGGACCGGAGAGTGTGTGTGGTTTTGTGTGCTGCCTGCATCCCGCAGATGGGGTTTTGCTTGTTTGTGTGTCCCGGTTGCTGGCATGCCATGTACTGGGGGTTGGGGACGCCTGGGCTAGTTCATGCCTTATTTTACTGTTCATGCCTTATTTTACTGTTCATGCCTTATTTTACTGCAACAGAGGGAGTTGGAATCCGTGTCGGAAGCTGGTTCCTCCTGAATTGAATGTGTGCATGTGTTTGTGTGCGTGCGTGCATGTGCACGTTCTCTGCGTGTGTCCTTTTTAAGGGGTCACTACAGTCCTGGCTTTGATACCATTTGCACGTCTTCTACATATTGCTTATTTATTGGCCTATAACATCCACACATGTGGACCCCGGTCTCTGAGAGTGGGTCGGCTTAGGGCAGGGGTAGGCAACCTTGGCAACTTTAAAACTCGTGGACTTCAACTCCCAGAAGTCCTCAGCCAGCCACCGCTGAGGGGAAAGGGAGGGGTTTCCAACTGAGCCATGCTGGCTCAGGAATTCTGGGAGTTGAAGTCCAAAGTCTTAAAGTTGCCAAGGTTGAGGACCCCTGATATAGGGCACGGGCGGGCAACCTTGGCTCTTTTATGACTGGTAGACTTCAACTCCCAGAATTCCTGAGCCAGCCATGCTGAGGGAAAGGGAGAGGTTTCCAAGCTGAGCCATGCTGGCTCAGGAATTCTGGGAGTTGAAGTCTACCAGTCATAAAAGAGCCAAGGTTGCCTACCCCTGGCTTAGGGTCATGAGAATCAAAGGAAGGCCACGGCTGCGGTTGAAACCCGCCGGTCCCCAGCCGTCGGTGGGGAGACCCAATGCTCAGTGAAGTGGTTCTTCAACAGAGGGTCCATAAACGTTCCCTTCTTTGACAGCACTACACCTCGGACGCTGACGGGCTCTGCACTCGACTGATGAAGCCGAAGGTGATGGAGGGCACCGTGGCGGCGCAAGACGAATTCTCACGGAGTAAGTGCCACACAGAAGCCGAATAGCAGCTTGCCTGGCATCGGTTCTTTATCCTTCCTCCTGCTTCTTCTTTTTCTTTTCCTCCTCCTCCTCCTCTTCCTCTTCCTCTCTTTTTTTTAATAGTTCCTCCTTCTCTTTATTTCTTTTCCTCCACCCCCTCCTCCTTTTCTTCTCCTTTTTAATAGTTCCTCCTTCTCTTTATTTCTTTTTCTCCTCCTCCTTTTTTAATAGTTCCTCTATTTCTTTTTCTCCTCCTCCTCCTCCTTTTTAAATAGTTCCTCCTTCTCTTTATTTCTTTTTCTCCTCCTTTTTTAATAGTTCCTCTATTTCTTTTTCTCCTCCTCCTCCTCCTTTTTTAATAATTCCTCCTTCTCTTTATTTCTTTTTCTCCTCCTCCTTTTTTAATAGTTCCTCTATTTCTTTTTCTCCTCCTCCTCCTCCTCCTCCTTTTTTAATAGTTCCTCCTTCTCTTTATTTCTTTTTCTCCTCCTCCTTTTTTAATAGTTCCTCTATTTCTTTTTCTCCTCCTCCTCCTCCTCCTCCTTTTTTAATAATTCCTCCTTCTCTTTATTTCTTTTTCTCCTCCTCCTTTTTTAATAGTTCCTCTATTTCTTTTTCTCCTCCTCCTCCTCCTCCTTTTTTAATAGTTCCTCCTTCTCTTTATTTCTTTTTCTTCTCCTCCTCCTCCTCCTTCTTCCTCTTCCCTATTCTACCTATTCTTTCTCTTCTCCTCCTCCTCTTCCCTCCTTCCTTCTGCTCCTCACCCTTTCCTCTCCTCCTTCTCTCCTCTTCTCCTCCTCCCTTCTCTCCTTCTTCTCCTCCTCCTCTTCCCCCTTTCTCTCCTGCTCCTCCTCCTCCCTACTTTTTTGTCCTCCTCCCCCTTTCTCCTTTTCCTCCTTCCCCGCTCCTCCTCTTCATCATCTGCTTGTCCTTCCAGGCGGATGGTCCCTCAACATGAAAGACCTGAAGCTGCTACAGACCATTGGGAAGGGAGAGTTTGGAGGTGAGTCAGACCCAGAAGTTTCTTTCGGTGAGACTTCAGACATGGAGGGCCTCTTCACGGCTGGGTGTGGTTTGGGGTAGTGAAGGAAAAAAGTTTGCCTTAAAATTCCACCCCTTGTGCTAGAAGTGTTAGATTAATGGCGCAAAGGGAGGGGGGCCTGAACGTTTATCCGAGTCCTTTGGCTTAAACTTTTCAAGTTAGGCGGTTGTCGGAGCGGATGCTTTTCCAGCTCCAGAAAGAAGATCTTGCGTTGGTCTGTGGTGACCCACCAGATCCCATATCCCCTTCCTCCAGTCGTCCGCTCTCTTTTGCAGATGTGATGCTGGGCGATTACCACGGGAACAAGGTTGCAGTGAAGTGCATCAAACATGACGCAACCGCACAAGCCTTCTTAGCTGAAGCGTCGGTGATGACGTGAGTCCCTGCCTTCTTGAGCAGGGGAACCTAATCTGGATTAACATCTGGCTGCAAAGGAAGATGGCAGAGAACAAAGACGTAGCTGGTGTTCAGGCATCGTTAATCCAGCTTCTCGCAAAAGCCTTGCTTTAGAAAGCAGTGGAGAATATATTTACTCGCTCCTGCGTTGTCATTCAGGAGCAGACAAGCTCAGGAGTCCAGAGAAGAGACTTTAGGAGCACCACCCCAAAAGTCCCGCTTCTTCTAGATTCCCACATAAACTAGAACCCAAGGAAGTTTTTTTGTGAACTGCTCTTATACTCCAGGAGAAGTTAGGAGAAACAACCCTCAAAACATTTGGGACCCAAACTCTTCAAGGCAGGGATCTCCAACTGTGGCAACTTTAAGACTTGTGGACTTCAACTCCCAGAATTCCTCAGCCAGCTTGGCTGGCTGAGGAATTCTGGGAGTTGAAGTCCACAAGTCTTAAGGTTGCCAAGGTTGGGGACCTCTGCTTTAAGACATGTCAAGCAAGATTGAGGTGGGACTCCATAGCCACGTAGTTCGAAAGTAGGCTGTTCTTTTGAGGCCAGGGTCAGGCGTGGTGTCCCTTGCACGAAGCCCTTTACCTACAATGGAAAACTCTGGTTGACCCCTCTTTGATCATCTCCCCATCTGGTCCGTCTCATTGCAGACAGCTCCGGCATAGCAATTTGGTCCAGATGTTGGGGGTGATCGTGGAGGAGAAAGGGGGCCTCTACATTGTCACAGAATTTATGGCAAAGGTAAGAACTTGCTGTCCTTTCCAAGGGAAGGTTGGTCTAGAAATTGGGTGGTGATGAAGAACATAGCCGTGGCAGAAGGGCCTACAACAAAGAGGAAGACTCCTTAAACTTGGCTTCTACTTTCTGATGATCTTTTGCTGGTTCATTGATTACGGGGCATCTGTTGAGTCTTAGTCGCCTCATAGAAAGTTTTTTTTTTCTCCAGGACATTTTGACTTAATCTGGTCCTTCAGGTCTTCTAATGGTGCTCTCCTCACCGTTCATCTTGCTGCTGGTCATCCTCTTCTTTCCTTTCCCTCCATCTTTTCCAGCATCATTCCTTTTCAAAGGAGCTGGGTCTTTATGTTGATTCATCTTCAGCCTTTAAGGTCTTTGGAACCAAATCCTTTGGAGAAGAAAAGATTGATCAGCATCTTCTTCTTCTTCTTCTACTCTTGTCGGTTTCCCAGCATTGGAGCAGAAGTTGGAGTTATTTCTGCTTCCCTTTCCACATACAGTGTTGCAACCAGCATTATTTCATTAGAATTCTTTTATTTTTTGTAACACTTCCAAGCAATCCTTAGGATTAACAATGTTCCTTCTCTTCATCTTTCCTTCCTTCCTCCCTCCCTCCCTCCCTCCCTTCTCTTGCTCCATCTTCCTTTCTTCTCCTGCTTTCTCCCTTCCATTGTCTCCTTTCTTCTTCCTTTCCTTTGCCTTTCTCCTTCCTTCCTTCTCTTGCTCCATCTTCTTTTCTTCGCTCCCTTTCTTTCTCCCTTCCTTCCATTATCTCCTTCATTCTTCCTTTCCTATGTCCCTCCCTCCCTCCCTTCCCCATTTATTTTGAACTGGCCCATCTGTTAATGTCCACAGTTAAATGCTATTTACTGCTGGAATAAGCTCCAGTTTTGAAAACCTATTTGTTTTTTCTTTGCTTCCCTGGATGGGTGTGCAATCTATGTGCATGTGTGTTCTTGCTTCTTATACCAAGAGGAGAGTGCCATCTACTGGGGAGTGCCACTAACTGTACGCCTGTTCAACCACTCCTTTTTACCAATTTTGCCCTTTTAGTGTTATACAGTAGTCGGGATGAGTTTAATTCCAAATATGATGGGATTTGAAATCAGATGGTTTTCTTGGACTTCCTTAGAAAATTTTGGAGGAAATCTTCAGGTTATGCATGCATATGTATCTCCCTCTCTCTCTCCCCCTCTCTCTCTCTCTCTCTCTCTCTCTCTCTCTCTCTCTCTCTCTCTCTCTCTCATGTATTTAATTTCTACACCGCCCATCCCACCTAACTGGGCAGTTTACAAAAACATAATAAAACACTCTGCACACATGACTAAAAGCAGAGTTTAAAACAGAATTAAGAAGATGGTTAACATTTACAGGTTCAAAAGGAAAGTCAAAGTTAAAAAAATTCAGAAGACCAAAAAAGCTAACACATTGCTTCCAATATTATTAAAAATAGAGAAAAAAAAACACTTTTCCATATCACTTTCTAGATTCTAGAAGATTAATTCCTTTGGGTTTCAGATGGGCTGTCTTGTCACTTCTGGCAATTTTAATCCTTATGTCATGATTCCGACAGATGAAACTCTTCAAAGAACTTCGAGGCATTGTTTACCTTAAAGAATCTTTATTCGAGAAGTATAGCATCGGCACATACATAGCCAAAGCCAAAATCTGAATTTCCCTCCCCTGAGCACATAGTGTCAAAGCACAATTCCCCCCTCGAATTCACAGTCATAAAGCACATTCTCCAATTAGTTTGAAATGCAGGCTTTCCCTCCAGTTCTTCAACCCGCCATTTCTTATCATCTCTTATTTCAAAAAACCTTGGTTCCCATGCTAGTTTACTATATTGTTATGTCTAACTAAACTCCCATGCACATTCCTCCTCCCCCCCCCAGTATCATCTATTTCTAACTCTAAGAGTAAAACAAAGTAAAGGAAAATGGCTGCATCTCCATACGTTGTCAAAACAAGAACATCCGGGGTTAGCAGCATTGACAACTTTCTCTCAAATCTTCCCGCAGGGAAGTCTAGTCGATTATCTTCGCTCTCGAGGAAGGTCTGTGCTGGGAGGCGAATGCTTGCTGAAATTTTCCTTGTAAGTATGTCCTTCCGTTGCCTTGTCATGAAGAAAATGCTTGCCTGTGTCTGGGGGGGGGGGGCTGTTTCTAGAAAAAAAGGATCGTTGAAGCTCGTGATTGAAAGGGGGCGGTTTCTTAAGGGCCTTGTGGCGTGGTGGTGGCGGCGTGCCCCCCCCCCCTTGTCTTGAACCTAACTCCTCGCTTGCTCTTTGCCCCTAGAGATGTCTGCGAAGCCATGGCGTACTTGGAAGCCAACAATTTCGTTCACCGGGACTTGGCAGCGAGGAACGTGTTGGTCTCGGAGGACAACATTGCCAAAGTCAGTGACTTTGGACTGACAAAGGAAGCTTCCTCCACCCAGGACACCGGCAAACTCCCGGTGAAATGGACAGCACCAGAAGCACTTAGAGAAAAGGTGAGTGGGGACCTGGGAACGGGTGATGACTAACCCATGGCTGAGCCAGGTGGGACTTGATAAGGTCCACGAGGACACCGTGTTTGGTTCTTCCTGTAAAGTTGAAGTCCTTTTCCTCCTGCAGCCTTGGTCAGGTTCAGTGTCTTCAGGCTGTAGAGTCCCAGGTTGGATGTATCCATCTCATATAGCCCAATATAGGCCACCCTGTAGCAAAGGTAGAGTCCTTTCCCATAGGACAAGTAATGGGGCTGGATGCCCAAGTGCTAGTGAGTTTGGTGGCTTTAAGCCCAAGCTTTAAGCCCAAGCACAGATGATCAGGGATCTGGGGTCCAAATCGTATGATGTACTGCTAAGGGAACTAGGATTAGGGGAGACATGATAGCTGCCTTCCAATACTTGAGGGGCTGTCACAGGGAAGGTGGGTGGGCTTATTCTCCAAAGCATTTGAGGGTAGGACAAAGAAGCGATGGGTGGAAGCGCCTCCGAAGGAGATCCAGTCTGGAACTAAGGAAGAATTTTCTGGCAGTGAGAATGATTATGTATGAGCCGAGGTGGCGCAGCAGTTAGGGTGCAGTACTGCAGGCCACTTTAGCTGACTGTGTTCAGCAGGTCAGTGGTTCAAATCTCACCGGCTCAAGGTTGACTCAGCCTTCCATCCTTCCGGGGTAGGTAAAATGAGGACCCAGATTGTTGGGGGCAATGTAAATATATATATACATTGCTTACTGGGTGTACACCGCTTAGAGAATGCTTGCACTTAAAGCGGTATATAAGTCTCATAAATAAATAAATAAATAAATAAATAAATAAAATTAACCAATGGAACAGCCTTCCTCCCATCACTGAAGGTTTTCAAGAAGAGATTGGCTGACCATTTGTCCAGGGTGGTATAAGAACTTCTGCCTTAGGCAGGGAGCTGAACTAGAAGACCCCAAGACCCCACCCAGCCCTAGGATTCTATGATTTGATCATCGGTTCTCTACATAGGAGGCTAAAAGCTGAACAGTGCCTCTTACTTTGGTGGTGGAACATCTGACCAGGTTGATCCAGGTCTTTTGACAATGTCTATTTGTGTGTGTCTTCTTCTAACCTTGGCAGAAATTTTCAACCAAATCAGACGTATGGAGTTTTGGAATTCTTCTCTGGGAAATCTATTCCTTTGGGCGAGTGCCTTATCCGAGAATTGTAAGTGAAAGGCTGGAGGGTCCTACAGGTTTTTTTTTTTTGCTCCTGACCACGAGCTTATCTGGTCGGTCCCGTGCAAAAGCCGCCAGTCTCGGGAGATTCCTGCATTATAGGCAGAAAACAATGAAGTAGTCAGCTTGAACCTTGCATGTGTGGGTCGACGCTGTCCTTAAAAGCATTGCTTTCCCCCCCTTTCCCTCCCCCTCCCCTGCAGCCTCTGAAGGACGTGGTCCCTCGTGTGGAAAAGGGGTACAAGATGGACTCTCCAGATGGCTGCCCCCAGATTGTCTACGAGGTGATGAAAAAATGCTGGACTTTGGATCCCGTCCACCGGCCGTCCTTCCACCAATTACGGGAACAGCTAGAGCATATCAAAGCCAACGAGCTCTACCTGTGAAGCCGACTGGAGGGCGGGGCTTCTCTTTGGACACACCCTCCCTGCCTTCTCCCCGGGGCACAGACCTCAGGGGTGAGGCTGGGTGAAGAAACCTCCCCCCCCCCACACACACCCGAGCGAAGCAGGTTGTTTGTTTTTTCCAGGAATCCAAATTTCTCCACTGTACTTAGAGAAACGTACGGACGTTGGACCTCTCCCCAGAGGCCCGATGGGTAGGTGGGGAGCATGGTTCCCTTCTCCCAAGTCTCTTTCTCAGCTGAATCACCCGAAGATGCCCATGTGGGAACGAACATGGAGATGCTCACTTCCCCTTCCTGTCCTTTAAAAAAATCCGTTTCACTGCAAAGGGTCAATCATACCATATTTTAGTTGCACATTCTTCAACGTCTTTGAGTCCTTCTTTCTTCTCGTGGATTCCCCCCCTCCCTTTTCCTTTAATTCATGCCCACCTCCCTCCTTCCCCCCCCCATACACCTTTTTCAGCCTCCCTCTGGAACCAAACACGTACATGTTCTCGTTTCGTAGGGAAACCTAAGAAGGGCGGACCATGCCAAAAAAACACAAACAAACAGAAAAACAAACAGTGGCAGGACAGCTATTAAAGGCGCAAATTTTCTTGGGGAAAGAGAGTGACTTTCTTAACTTTCTCAAAAAGACCCCCGAGTGCTGGAATTCACAATCCGGTGTCTTCTTCCTTCCGAAGACACCTTCCCCCCAAAAGATAATTGGTTTTCGTTCCTTTTTTTTTTTTTTTTTAATTTTCAGGGTTTTTCTTTTTTTTTTTAAAGAAAAAACTATTAACAATTTCAAACTGCACCGGAAACCCGCTGTTGGGCTGGGTTTTAAACTCAAGTTACGAGTCTTATTTTTTCATGTAATGAATAAAATGGGGTTTTTTTAAAAAAGAAGAAGAAGAAGAAGAAACATCTGCGTGCACGGGGAACTCTGCCTTATCTGAATCGGGTCCTGACCAAACCGAGGCGGAGTTTTGTTCTCCGGAAAAGCAGAGCTACCCCAGCAAGGGGGATTGGATGGGTTTTGTTTAGTTCTTGCTTCAAACCGTGATTGCATGCTGCCTCCAGAATCCTTTCCCAGTCATGTCTTTATGCTCATATTATGCTGCCAACTGTGAGATTAAGCTGCATTAAAAGAAAAGGAAAAAAAACCAAACAAACCACTCAACACTCCATAATGAAGATGTAACTTTGTTGTCTCGGCTCTCAGTTTTATTTATTTGTATTTGGGTTGGGTTTGTGAAAAGTACGGGGGCTTTTTTTTACAAGAAGTCCTCGACTTAAGAGTTCATTTAGTGACCGAAGTTACAACGACACTATAAAAGTGACTTACAAGCGCTTTTCACACTTAACAATCGTCGTAGCCTTCCCCGGGGTCACGTGATTGAAATTTCAGCTGCTTGGCAACTGACTCATGACAGTCGCTGTGTCCCGGGGTCACATGATCCGCTTTTGCGACGACCTGACAAGTAAAGTCAATGGGGGAAGCCAGATTCACTTAACAACCGTGTTACATAACAACTGCAGCAATTCACTTAACGAGAAAGATCATAGAATGGGGTAAAACTCAAAACTGCCTCGCTTAGCGGCAGAAAATTTGCACTCAATTATTGTAGGTTGAGGACCACCTATTGTTTTGATTTTATTTGAGCCACAGCTTAGGTATGTGTGGAAATGGGAGGGAGGAAATACAGTCCTAAGGAAGGCTGTTGTGTATTTCCGCGGGCCATCTTCCCATGGGATTGTTTTCTGTTCATCAAAACGTCTCGACCTTCCTCTTCATCCCGTTTCAGCAAAGTCTTGGCAGTTAGAACAGGAGCTCCCATAAAGTTTGGCAATCTGGAATAAAACGAAAAGATCCTTGTGACGCAACAAAGCTTTTTAATAAAAATCTACTTGGGGGGGAAAACTGGGGGCAAGCCATCTTATTAACTGGACCAAGTTCGCTGCGTATAATTCATCTTAGCGCCACTAGATGGCTCTCTGCCCCCAGATTGCTACTAGACCCGCTGGTTTTTTCTGGATCCTTGTTTTTTTTTTTAACAAATATTGTATTAATTGGGTCTGACGGGACTACAGTTCCCATCAATCCCAACCAATCTGCTGGGAATGATTCGTGGTTCTATGCCCAACGCATCCAGAGAGCGGCTAGTAAGGAAAGGCTTGAGATATGGTTAAACCAGGAGTCCCCAACCTGTGGACTGTGGCTCCCTATCGGGCTGTGGCCTATTTGCAATCGGGACCCGTGAGTGGCAGGCTGGTGCACATGCGTCCCCACTTGTGTTGAATGGTGCCTCAAAGCTTCTCTGTTGTGTGAGGAGCTGCACATGCACATTCGCTGGCCTGCCACTTATGGGGCCCAGTTCCGCTCTCCCCAGCTGGGCCGCCCAGCTGCAAAGGTTGAGTGCTGGATTAGACAGACCAGTTGTTTGTTTATTTATTTATTTATGAGACTTATATACCGCTTTAAGTGCAAGCACTCTCTAAGCGGTGTACACCAGTAAGCAATGTATATATATATATTTACATTGCCCCCAACAATCTGGGTCCTCATTTTACCTACCCCGGAAGGATGGAAGGCTGAGTCAACCTTGAGCCGGTGAGATTTGAACCGCTGACCTGCTGAACACAGTCAGCTAAAGTGGCCTGCAGTACTGCACTCTAACTGCTGCGCCACCTCGGCTCTTTGTTAGATTTGGTATAAGAATTTGGGAAAGATTTTATAAAAGTAAACACATCTATGTCTTGCAAAAGACTGCAAACCCACGTCCAGCCATCTCCAGATACAAAGGGTCGAGCCTCAGATATTGGGGGGGGGGGGGGAAAGGTTAATATTTCTGTCTGAAGCCCTACAGAGGTTTTGCCCTTCAAGTAGATAAGATCGACATTTAAACTTTTCAAAAAACTTGTAACAAAAGTAAAGTAAAGAGTACACATTTCCTAAGCACTTTAGATACCTGGGGTATAAATGGGGTGTATTAATTTGCATTGGCCAGCCTACGCATCAGCATTTGGAATGCCATGGGTTCAAAAAAGGCTTTTGACTTGATTGAATGGTCATCCTTAATATTATTTAGCTCGGTTCAGCAGAGCACCAAAGCTCCACTTTTCCCAAGGATAAATGTGGAAGGAAAATTTAGGAGGACCTTCAGGGTCTTCAGAAATACTTGCATGGAATAGCTAAGGGTCTCGGTGAGGAGGGTAAAAAAATAAATAAATCAAGACGACGGTTGCATTGGAGATCCAATCTTGTCAACATTTCAACATAGACCAAACTAGGAAACTAAAGTTATAAAGCTATTACTATTTTTATTCTCGCATGTCAGTAACAACAAATTGCAAGACTGAATATACTTGCCCCCTCCCCTTTTATCTTCAAGGATAGGGAGGGTTTCTTGAGGGATTTCTCAAAATTCCATTTCTGGAACCAGATTCAAATTTCTTTTATCTAACTCAGTGGTTCTCAACCTTTTTAATGCCGCGACCCCCCAACCAGTCGTAAGTCGAGGACTACTCAACCGGTCGTAAGTCGAGGACTACTCAACTGGTGCAGCACCATTTGCAGAATGGGACTTTTGGCGGGCTCAGCAGGGCAGAGACAGCCTGGACAATTCCTATTGGCTTTTGAAAGCCAATAGAATTAGACTCTATTCAAGAGAGTCTATTCTATTGGCTTTCAAAAGCCAATAGAATAAAAGGGAGTAGCACAGCTAAGAAAAAAGGGGAAAAATGGCGGACAGCGTTGTTTGGCGACCCCCGTGAAATGGTCGTTCGACCCCAAATGGGGTCCCGACCCACAGGTTGAGAACTACTGATCTAACTTATCCCAGTTCTGTCTCTTCCTCCTGTTCTTTAGGGTTATCCGATTAGCCTACGACACATCGTGTCTTCAGAAATCATGGGCGTTCCATCACTGGAGATTTTTAAGGAGAGACTAGGCCCTAGACCAGTGTTTCTCAACCTTGACAATTTTAAGGCATGTGGACTTCAACTCCCAGAATTCCACAGCCAGCAATTCTGGGAGTTGAAGTCCACATGCCTTAAAATTGTCAAGGTTGAGAAACACTGCCCTAGACAGTCACTTGTCTGAAATGGTATAGGTTCTCCTGCTTGAGTGGAGGGCTGGATTAGAAGACCTCCAAGGTCCCTTCCAGATTCTATTCTATTCTATTCCATTCCATTCCACTCCACTCCACATTTTCTTTTCTTTTCTATCCTATCCTATCCTATCCTATTATATCCCACTCCACTCCACTCCACTCCATATTTTCTATTCTATTCTATTCTATTCTATTCTATTCTATTCCATTCCATTCCATTCCATTCTGTATTTTCTATTCTATCCTATCCTATCGTATCCCACTCCACTCCATATTTTCTATTCTATTCTATTCTATTCTATTCTATTCTATTCTATTCTATTCTTAATTATTTTATACCAGCATGGAAGTTTTGCACATATTACAAAGGGCTTTGATCAAACAATTGTGATGGTCATCCTGGGGGGAGGGGGTTGAGCTCTTTCTTCCATCTCAAAACAGCTCCTTTTAAAGGATCTCAAGTATCATTTTACGAGACAAATCTCCTGCCAGGAGCTTTGCTTATCAAAACAGATCACAAATCAGCTTCCCATCTCCTGCCCCTCAGGAAAAAAAAATAAAATTAATAGTCTGCAATATGGACGTTTTTATTAACTCCCCAGGAGCTGAGCTCAGCATGAGGGAGCTGCCCTTATTTATTTATTAGTACTAATATTTTATGCACTGTCATTAGCTAGCGCATACTTTACCACTGTTTGTCCCCAACGGCTGAGGTAGATCATAATCGGGCAAAGCCACAGAACTAAATCAACTTTTTGCCACAAATTAACAGCTCCCACAAACTGAAAACTTCCTCGGGGAATTGGAAAAGGGCTCTGGGTGAAATCTTTGCTCCTTGCAATTTTGCACAGCAATGGGAAAGAGGAAAAAATCTGACTGCGCAGCAAATACCTGGGATAGGAGGTGTACTGGGTATCCTCCAGATGGATCCTGGCACTTCCGCTGAGGCCTGACAGCCCTGCAGCTGCAGCCGTCTCTCGCTCAGGCTTGTGCGGTGCTGCTCATTCCCCTCCCCTGCTACCCTTTTTCTAGGATGGTCGTGTACCACCTGCCAGGTGCCAATGTACCACAGGTGGTACCCGTACCACTGGTTGAAAAGCCCTGGACTAGGGCAAGCAATTTTGGGACTCCAGAGTCAAGCAGCTGGTTGGGCTGACAGTAAGAGAAGGGCAGAACTGAGAGTCTGAATGTCAGCCAGCATTGGCTGCCTTTTTTCTCAAGATGTACCTCAATTTGCCTCTGCTGAAGAACGTCTCTCGCAAGCCGCTGGAGCAGATGAAAATAGCTCCTTTTCCACTGGAGAGAATTATTCAGCGCGAATCAAATAGTCAGTGACCTAAAACTCTTCTCTCTCTCCCTCCCTCCCTCTCTCTCTCTCTCTCTCTCTCTCTCTCTCTCTCTCTCTCTCTCTTTTTCTCTCTCTCCCTCCCTCCCTCCCTCCGGTGCCTCCTTCCCCACCAATTCAAGGTCCTGAGTGGGCAGACAGCAGGAACCTGGAGACCTTACAGAAGGGTGTGTGGGAGGCCTGAAGGCATAGTGAGAATTGTGGAGCCTCCACACACGAGTTTATGACAACTCTCCATGGCCAACTCACTGCAGAGACAAGACGCCACGGGACAAGCGTTACACTAATATCAAAGAAATGGTCATTAAAGAAAGGATGCCAAAGGAGGAACAAAATGAAACGGGAAGGACAAAAATTAAAATAGTGTTTTAATGATTTTAAATGATGAAATGGAATGGTTGAATTGTCCTCCAACAAGTTGTCCCACAGCCAGTTGGTTGTGGAGAGTTGTCACATGCCATCCGCACATTTTGGAGAGGCAAAATGTCAACCGGCCTGTGCTTAGCTTCGAGGAGAGCCAGAGGACTAGAGTCAGATCACGAAGCCGAAGGGCTACAGCTTCTTGGGAAGGAAGCCTGTTCATAAATCTCTGCGATTCCCGTCTCTTGAATGGGTTTCTGTCTCGGCGTGTGCGGGCTGATCCCACAAACCAGGGATAATTGAACGGACTGTCGGTCCCTTAACGGCAGGCAAGCAAGCAGTCATGTGAACACAGGCCAGAGAAGGGGTGCATTCTTCCTCTGA